GGATGATGAAATTTTTGGGTCTGAAAAGTACAAAAATAATGAAGTATTGTAAAACTTAAAACAAAAATTCAGTTTTCTCCAAATTGCAGTTGTGTTGATGAACCCCCCCCCCCCCCCCCCCAAGTACCCCTAAGGGTACTCGTACCACTGGTTGAGAAACACTGTGCTACTATACCAGAGAAATAATAAGGGCATGATTTTGTGTTGTACCTCCTCAGTGAGCACAGATGGATCAGTCTGGGTGTGTGAGTGTGTGTGTGTGGGGGCGGGGGTTGGCATTGACAATGTGCTTCAGTCACTCCCCATCCTGCTCTCTCCTACAAGTCCTGTCCCCACCACAGACCCCTCACTGACACAGAACTCCTGGACCAGGGGAATTCCATTGCACTCAGCTCAGAGGTGAAAGTAAGTGAGTGCATCCTGGCATACAGCTCCAGCAAAAGCTGTCTGAGCTGTAGCAAAAGCCAGCAGGTAGATATTTAAAGAACTGGCAGGGATCTGGATTGCAATAGGGCAGTACCTGTAAGAAATGTTAAGTTACTTTCACCGCTGGTTCAGCTCTTTTCCATCACTGCAAAGATTGCTCAAAATCCATACTTATAATTTACAAATTGAAATAAGGAAGTGTGGTTACTCACATCAATATGTTTACCTCCTGATCATTTGCATTTTTGTCCCTGACCCCACAATCCTACTGCAAGAGTTGTAGGGGCCCCATTGATTAGTGTCAGTGGATGATGCCGTAGAGAGGTTTTCTGAGGAGTCGAGATCTCCTTAATCCCAGAAAAAAACCCTGACATCTCAAATAATCAAAGTGATTAAGCACCAGTTCACTGTAATTTAATGTGTGGGCATCATTAAACCACTGTAATACATTCATGTATCAGTAACTGAGTCATGAACCTGCACTCTTTTCTGGAAAGATTAAATTAATTACAACCAACAGATGTGCCCAAAACAGCCATCTGAATGTAGCAGACCTGCTTGAACCAGCCATTCGTTGACCAAATGTTGAAACTGTAGTGCCTAATGTTTCATTCCAAAGTGGAAGAACAGCCTGAATTTCATATCATTTTACAGCTCTGACATGGGGTTACAGGGAAGGGTCATGTGCATGCAGCATCATTCCTTCCTCAGAACTCCGCTAATGGGAACATCCACATAGGAACTACCTGTGTAGGGAGTGATGCACCTCCAAACTCCTGGCCTAGCGCTTTGTGTCCCAGCTTCTGGCCCCAGACATCAAGGGCTCTGCTGCTGGCCCTGCATACCAGGTTCATAGCTGCCAACCTGTGCTGCTAGCCCTGTGTGCTGGGGTTCTGGGTCGAGCCCAATGTGCCAGGGGCTCTGCTGCTGCCCCATGCAGCAGGTTCCTGGCTGTTGCTTGCACAACAGAGGCTCACTCTACCTAGGGCCCCACATGCTGGAGTCCCAGTTTGAGCCCTGTACACCTCTGCAGCTGGCCCCATGTGTTGGGACTTTTCTCATGGCCTCAGCTGAGGATGATAGTAGACAGGGCTATGGGGGCTCAGCACCCCCACTTTTAAAAATCTTTCTGTGCTACTGGATGGGAATAACTTATCTAGTCATTCATTACCCATTTGTGCAATGAGCCAAGTGCCTCAAAGCCCCATTGACTGCAATGGGATTTGAGGGCACAAAGCACACAGCCCCATGTACAGAACCGCCGGCATGTTAAGAGCAATATATGTGAACACTATTCCCTTGGAGTTACAGGGACTCAGTGGCATATAGTTTGCTTTGCATGGGGATCTCTTTGAGGAGACATTTAAAAATCCAAAAGCTGTCTGTTCTGCACACTCAATCATGTCCCCAATGCACTTGTTCATAAGAGCAGAGGCTTCCCTAGTATCTTTGGTCAAATTACTCCCCTCCTCACATTGACCCTTTCAGAATAAAGAGCAATGTGGGGGACGTTCTGATTTCCACCAAGTGGTAAGTATCTCCAGAGAACCATCCAACAGCAGAGGCTCTGTCTAAGTTATACCAGTGGGTCTCTCCCTATACCTGAGGGGCTAGCTTAGGATTCAGCTACATTAGTGGGGATGAAGTGGGGGGTGGAGTATCTCAGGCTGGAGGGACATGGCCAATCTCTGATATCTTTGTACTCCCAGAATGGCAAAAAGGGAGCAGAGCAGGGCAGAGAATATGGCCCATGAAATACAATATAAGGCATCCAGTGTATAAGTGGTTTGCCGGTGTTTTCTTTCTATTTCTGCCTCTTTCTGTTCCAGTGTCAAAATCTATTGGCCAAGAAGAATTTCAATTGCTCTTACGCTTGACAGCAATAGCATTCATAATAAATGATGGCTAACCCATGCACATTAATATCCTCTGCTTTTAATGTTTTTAATTAATTTTTACATTTACAATATTACTGATTCTTCCAGAAAATGCAGTAGAAGTCTGTACTCAGCAGGCGTCTATTTTGGCAAAGATTTTATTCTGTTTATCTATCATAAATATTTACCTTGATTATTTGAATATTTATTTTAAATCACAGGAGGCCGGTGGGAGCAGCAGCAAGAGGCCAGCAGGGCATCTGGCAAGAGCAAGTAGTCGGCAAGCGGGAGCAAATGGGACAATTACATTGCTGGACTTGTGAGCCTGAGAGGCAAAGGACATTGCTCAACCCACTTGAACTGAGACATTTACACGTGGGTTGGTTATGAACTCTGTGTTGTTTTCCCAAGTTAATGACATGTTACTTCTCTCCCTTTTTTCATTAAAAGTTTCTTTTCTATGCTCAGACTCTGCTTGTGAGTGGGGAAGCATTGCCTTTAGTGGTACTCAGGGTATGTGAATTTCCCAGGTAGTAGGTGGGGCTCAAGCTAATTCTGTGTGAGATGGATGAAAAAGAACTCCTAGATATTGAACCCTACCCTGGCTGCTGCCAGTGCCACCTGGGAGAAGGGTTCCACGTATATGCAAAGGCAAAATTAGAAAGATTTTAATGGCAGCAACTGCAGTTTGATTTGAGAATTACTGTATTAACAAATAATTTCTAATTTTAAACTTTAATGCTTTAATAGCTGCATACAATAATATCTGTGAGTTTCTTATAACTTGATTATAGCTTCATGTTAAAAATAGTTTTATTAAATGTACTGTAGCTATGTTCTTATTTGCAGTTTATTTTAAAAACTGCACATTATGCTGTTTATAAATAAACCGGGGGAGATACTTTCCTAATACAGAATTTTACATTTTTTAAATATTTGGTAACATGTATTTAAAAGATATACTATTGATATTTTAATAACATATGGCTTAAATATGCATCCACTACATACACTGAAGATCATGTAGTCATGTCAGTAGTTTCTATGAGAAATGGTGATACAATTGGTCCCTTAAACGTTAAGGACAATTTATAACAATCACAATGTTTTGAAGGTAGGTACCTAAATAACTCTGAGGATCTGGCTATGAAATTTTAGACATAGAAATGGGCCATGAAATTTACATATGGACTCATGACTCTCCAAAGTTCAGAGGTGCTTTGGATTCATCTTAGAGAGATGGACTTTAAACTGAGAAGTTTAGATTATAATCTGACTAGCATCAAAATCCAAATGGGGTCAGAACTCGTGTTATAGATCAGGCTCATCTGTAGACATGCCTAATTTTTAGGAACTAGGCAAATGACCGGGCTTTGTTTATCCTGAATATGGCTCTTAGACTTCCTGAACAATGAATGGAGGGAAATAGGTGCCTGCAAATGGGTTTCTCAAAAGCCAAAAAATGAGGGAAGTAGCTGCCTAAGCTAGCCCATGGAAGATGCTACAGAGAGGAGTCATGTCTTAAGCCTCACTGCTATCAGGGAGTTTAATGCCTAAATTGAAGGCTGGAGGGACAAACTTTCCTCTGATTGTGTGTCGGATGTGGGGTATGACTGCTTCAAGTTCCCTCTTTTCCACTTCTGCATCATAGGCAAGTGTCTCCTACTCTGCCTCCTTGCTACCCCTAGGCATTTTTGTGAGCTCAGGTGAGGCATTGGTCCCATAAGCACAAACAGAATGTATTGCCTGTCTTGGGCCCTACAAGGGAACTAGGCAGAGAAAGCACTCTCTTATCTTAGCTTGTGAAACACCCTGGGACTTAGGCATCCGGATGCCAAAAGTGAGACAGCAATGCTTCTGTTGCAAAAATGTAGGTGCCAAGGGAATGTAGGCTTCTACAGGGTTCTGTAGCAGCTGAGTGGTGGTTTTGTGAATACCAGTGGTTCTGGGATACAGGCCCCTAAAGTGGCTGTCTGGTCCTTCTATGAATGTAGCACAAGGGTGGGCAAATACTGGCCCAAGGGCCAGATATAGTCGTTCAGAGTTAACCCCGGTAGACCCCCACTACTATGTTTACCTGCACAGGCATAGGAACCGGTAATCACAATTCCTGTTGGCTGTGGCTTTTCCTTTCACGGTGTCCCAGTCCACACTGCCTCCTGCTGCTGCCTTTGGCTGGGAATGGGGATCTGCAGCCAACAGGAACTGTGATTACCGGTACCTGCTGCCATGAAGGTAAATACAGAAGCAATGGCCCACCATGGGCTAATCTGGGGAACTGCCTATCTGTTATTGCCACCCAACACTCAATTGGAGGGATATAGCTATAATGGCATATTGTATTCTAAATAAACTTTTCTGGTAGTTTTCATGCATTTTTTTCCATTACAATTTCAGTGGTTGGTGACAGTTACAGCTTATGGCATGAAGAGATGCACTGTGAACTAGTGAAATGAACAGTGTATTAATCAGCCCACCAAAACAAATACTACCATGTACATCAAAGTAAAATGAGGGCATCTGAATGAATAGAAAGAAAATAGTGTGGACAGAAACCATGCAGTCCCATTGAATTCAGCGGGGCTGCCCAGTGTTACTGAAGACAGAATTTAGGCTTCTACTTTCAAGTGAAGCCGCACTGTAAAACTGAAACACATGTACAAGGAGAGGCTAACAGCAGCCACAGAATATACATACCACAATTACAAACAATGCAGGAGCCACAAAAGCCCAGATTGCACCATTCTTCAGCGAAAGCCAGCAACTGCAGGGAGAAAGCAGAATGGAAAATATCTCCTCACTACTGCAAGATTAAACACATGGTCATATAATTAGCAATGCACTTAATGAGAAAGAGAAGTACCAAAGGACTGAGAAATTCTACAGCAGGAAACATGGAAGGAGCTAATTGGGAATCCTCTTGTTTTCTCCCACTCCTTCTGCTCAAGGAATCCCTTGGATTGTGTACCACATAGGAAAATCTATGACTATCTGCTGTCATGGGCCTCAGCCTTACGATGGTGAAGGAGACACCAGGAGAAAATACTTAAAGTATCAGAGGGGTAGCTGTGTTAGTCTGAATCTGCAAAAGTGATGAGGAGTCCTGTGGCACCTTATAGACTAACAGATTTATTGGAGCATAAGCTTTTGTGGGCAAAGACCCACTTCATTACATGCATGTAGTGGAAATTCCAGAGGCAGGTATAAATATGTAGGCATAACAAAAGAGTACCAATCAAGAGTAAGGCTAGAGATAACGAGGTCAGTTCAGTCAGGGAGGATGAGACCCACTTCTAGCAGCTGATGTGGAGGTGTGAACACCAAGAGAAGAGAAACTGCTTTTGTAGTTGGCTAGCCATTCACAGTCTGTTCAATCCTAAACTGATGGTGTCAAATTTGCAGATGAACTGTAGCTCAGCAAAAGTCTCTAGCCTTACTCTAGGTGCAACAGGACTTCTGGTTGCATCTACATAAATTATGTTTTTTGGCAGCTGCACCAATTAATATGGTGTTGATCACAACAGAGGCTTCCCATTGTCTTTGCATCAAAAACAAAATCTAAGGGTAGGCCTAGATTAGGAGTAAATTCCAATTACTATACACAAGCCCTGCTGCTTTAATTGCGCAGCTAGAGGAAATGTACTTTGATTCAAACTTTGGCACCATCCCCACAATGGCAAGTCAATGGAAGAAATGCTCCTGTCATCTTCCCTTACTCATTGCAAAGAGTAGGAGTACCGACACTGATGGGAGCACCCTCAGTATTCAATTTAGTGGGTCCTTATTAGACCCGCTAAATCAAACTCCAGAAGTTCAACTTCCGGAGCATTGCTCTATGATATATATGTGGTCTAAGAGCTTCTCTCTTGTGATTTTTTTTTCAGGCTGCTGGGGGGATGAGGAAGGCATTGGAATGAACAAAAGCAGAAAGAAGGTTTTAACAAAAGCCTATACAATCCTCTAATGACTTAAGCACATGAATTACCTAATCATCAAAATCATTTTTTTCTCGCATGCTTAAGTTCTTGCAGGATCAGACATTCTGGTATTCTCTCAGGTCAATTTGCCTTTTCAGCTTACAATGCTCCATACTAAATGTTCAGAATTTTACTCCCCAAAACATCTCTAAATCTCGTTTACTAATTAAGATTAACTTTGTTTAATTAATCAGTCAGAGATCTCTTCTCTTACTACAAAAATTTTCAGCCTCTGCATTATTGGATCCTCAGACAAAATGCAGGCTGAAGGGTGCTCGGAGCACGTGCAATACTGAGTAGTGATGACTGAAAGCATTTGTGGCCACAAAGAGAAAGGGAGTGCTGGGTGTTTAATATCATGCCCTTGAGTAGGTTATCAGCACTGGGGTTTGAACTTGTGACCTTTGGATCTGCCTGAGATAAAAGACCCACCTCAGTTAGCCAAAGCTGTACCTGGCTAATCACTCTCTATCCGTGGCACAGTGCTCAGGGCTGGCCTTACTATGAGATGAACTGAGGTGGCCGTCTCAGGTGACAGATTGTGAGGAGGCACCACTAGGACCCAGAGTGTAGAAAATTGTGCCTGCTGCTGGTGTATATGCATTCTCTCTGCAATACCATGAGAGGAGTAGAACAGGAAGAAGGCAGAATTGAGACCTTTCAAAGTTTTGGCCCAAGCTAGGGGGCATGGAGGCGTCATTTGAGCTCCCAGCCTCTGGTGCCAAAATGTCATGGGCCAGCCCTAACAGTGCTGTGCTGAATGGGTATGATTTGGAAAAGGAGAGGCTTTAGAAGCAGCATTTACTGCACCTTTACAGGATGCAGCATCAACTGAATCACTGGTCCAGAATTGAGACCTTTCAAAGTTTTGGCCCAAGCTAGGGGGCATGGAGGCGTCATTTGAGCTCCCAGCCTCTGGTGCCAAAATGTCATGGGCCAGCCCTAACAGTGCTGTGCTGAATGGGTATGATTTGGAAAAGGAGAGGCTTTAGAAGCAGCATTTACTGCACCTTTACAGGATGCAGCATCAACTGAATCACTGGTCCTGGGAGCGGGACAGGAGGCAGCTCCATGCTCTTGAGAGGCCTGGGGCCTCTGGCAGAAGGGGTGGGGCTGGAGGCAGCCAGCCCTCAGTGCTGCTTAGAGTGCACTGCACCGGTCCTCTTCACCCTCCAACCAGCCCTCGGAGCCACCTGGAGTGTGCCGCATGGCACTTTGGTGGCAATTTAAAGGGCCTGGGGCTCTGGTTGCCCCTAGGGATATGAACTAGTCGTCTATCCGATATGCAAATGCTTGTCAGATAGTTGACACATTAGTCAACTAGTTGCTTCCCCCATTCCCCTTGCTGCCTCTATTAGAAAGAAGAAAGGTGGTTCCCCCAGCACCATCTCCGTGGCGGGGGGGCTGCCCCTAGGGATATGAACTAGTCGTCTATCCGATATGCAAATGCTTGTCAGATAGTTGACACATTAGTCAACTAGTTGCTTCCCCCATTCCCCTTGCTGCCTCTATTAGAAAGAAGCAGAAAGGGGAGATAAAAGATGGGGTGCTTCAAAGCAATAGCACCCTGTGGAGCCTGGGATCAGCTGGGGACTCCTCAAGCACTCGCCTGCTGGCCCTGTACTCCCTGCAGGGCCCCAGGGCTGTTGCTGCACTTCAAAGGTGGAGGCACCCTTATCGACTAATCAAATAGTCAATGCAAACTGCATTGACTATTTGATTAGTCAATTAATCTAAATTTAATATCCCTAGTTGCCACCAGTCCTGTGGTAACAGTGGCTGGGAGCTCTGGGCCCTTTTGAATTGCTGGGTCTCAGGGCAACTACTCCTTTTGCCCATTCCCCCATCAGTGGGCCTGCCACGCTCTATGATTCCTGGAGGTAGATTGCTCTTTGTTCTCAAAATCCTGCTCCCCAATGAGCTAGCATTTATAGAGAGCCTTTATTCACTTCAGGGTCTATATGTGTTAAGGGTCTTCATTTCTCCAATACTGCCTCACTGTTCCACCTGTCCCTACACATTAGGTTTAAACAAAGAGTAAATTCCTAGCTGACTTGTCACAGAGTATTTTGAAAGACAAGGTGTGTGAGGCTGTAACTTTTATTTGACCAACTTCTGCTGGAGAAAAAGACAAGCTTGTGAGCTTACACAGAGCTCTTCCTCACATCTGGAAGAGTATACCCATGGTCGCAGTAAAATACAGGTGGAACTGATTGTTTAGCATAAGTACTTAACACATATTGTAAGGAACCATTACACATACCAAGTATTTGGGTTAACTTTGCTCTCTGATCCTTGTGTATAGTCAAAAAATGTAACACATTAAAAACTACGAAGATCACCTTGCATGAACTTCCACCATCATGGCTGCTGGAAACAGTATCTCTTTATAGAACACTATGGGTATGTCTATACTACCACCCTAGTTCGAACTAGGGTGGTAATGTAGGCAACCGGAGTTGCAAATGAAGCCCAGGATTTGAATTTCCCGGGCTTCATTTGCATCTCGCCGGGCGCCGCCATTTTTAAATGTCCGCTAG